AAACAAGACCAAGTTGCGACAAAAAGGTCAACCCACTTCTATTTGCCATATTGTTTGTGCCTCAGGATAGGATATTGTGTCATCATGACTATTTAATTGAGAAATTCAAGAATCACTTGCAACCGTTCCCGCTCGGCGAATATTTTCCGGCAAGCCAACCAGCCGATGCTCTTTAGGCCTGCGCCACTCCCTAGGCGTCGGCCGTGGTAGGTGGTGGACCATTCGTTCTTCAGAGAAATGATCCTCAGACCATACGATGTTTTCTTCAATTAAATCATCAAGCGAAGGTAGTGGCTGATCATCAACCTGCGTCTCTTCAAATTGCAAGGTAATTTCAGACTCTAAGAAATACAAGAGAATAGAAAACAAAACAAATATTAATCTAATTTTAAGATAGTCCATAGAAAGAATAACAGAATTGCCAGGGACTTTGTGAGTGACTAAATATTTGTTTTAATTTTTTCAAACATTACATTTTGATTATTTTGTTTATTTCTAAAGCTAGAATAAAAGGTTTGTTGAGAATTGTTGATTGGGTCTTAAAATAATTAATAACTATATTCATATAAATAAGGTTCGAAACTATCATTAAATTTTAAATAAGAGTAGCATAAAGTAATGAAAAACTTAAATATGAAGAAAAGTCGGGTTTCGAAGAACCCCTTAGTAGATTGATACTTGCATACCTTTCATTTCGTATGAGAAGGCGGATGGAAGGGATTCGTAGATTGGCCTCACCGGATACCAAAGGCTGAGAAAAATCTTAGTTGAGAACAATTATCTGTTAGGATTAATTGTTAACAATGTAAAAATACTAAGAAATGTAACACTATTTAAGAAAAAAACAGGAAATTAGACAACTCTTTGTCCAGGTTCCTAATGCTAGCATCCAGCAAGCTTTCAAGAAAGATAGTCGAATAACTAAGGAAATAGAGCATCAGGAATATGTATAAAGAAACGATAACATTTCCTCGATCATGCCTTCCTTTATAGAATCCTCAGACGTCCCCTGAGTATCAGGTTATTATAGGGTTTTGTGCTTATGTGGTTGGGTTTATGTGAAGAATACTCGTCGATCCATACATAAGAGGCCATCGGAAGACAACCGCCTGAAAAGGTTTATGTTTTCAGAAATCGAAGGTGGTTGAACATGTGATCACTACAAAAAACCAGATAGAGTGATCTAAATCCCAATTATTTGCCGGATATGGGGAGTTCACAGCTAAGCGGAAAATCAGGAAGTCGATTGAAATTAACAAAACAAAGAACACCTTGACTAAGAGGAACGAATATAGGAAACTAAGTGAGAATACAACTTTTTTTCGCAGAACTATCCATGACTGTTAAATAGAATTAGAGGGAGAGAGAAGGAAAAAGAACAGGAAGATCCACTAAGTAATAGGAGAAGACTTGACTATGCTAGAATCTGTTTGAGACCTAAAATTGTCAATCAACTCGTAGCTGTTGCATATACACACGAGCACGCATCAACAAAGCTCTGACAAGAACCAGGATTACAGGATCATACACTATTTTATTTATATAGGAAAAGGTTGTGACCGCATCCGCTCCCCTTGTATCACTTTGACCCACTTGCGTGCATGTAGGGCAAGCATAAAACAGCCAACCAAGTTATAGAATGCCACATAAGGATCGCAAAGTGAGGTATAATAAGTAAGTAGGATCTCAGTTGATCACTTTTCTTGATTTAGACTTTTTGGTGATTGTTTGTGAATAATAGTTTCCGGCTCTGACAATGTCCGTCCTAAGACGGACGAAAACTCAACATGGAGTAATCGGTAAGCCGAGGTCTTCTTCGCACAATTCAGCAGACAAAAGCCCAAGGCAACCCTCCTTCGGCTTCAGATAGGGTTAATCTACGAATCCCTTCCACTTGCCTTCTCAAAGGAAATAAAAAGTATGCTAGTATGAAATACTGACAATTGAATTTCCATTGAATTTCTCATAGCCGTGAATCACAAAAGGTATTCTCATCCATCTAAGATGTAATGACAGTTTCAAGACTTGCTTTATGTAAAGATGGATTGTAATGGCAAACTAATTGTTTGAGCCAGCAACAATCCCAACATAAATGTGATATTAGAGGCCTGACATTCCTTGAAATTCATGTTTACCTTGTGATCCAGGCGCTCTCGTAGGAGTATGGCCCAGTTTCGAGGTCATACGCTGCACTTCCTGAATTCTAATCCCGCTGTAGGTGCTGGGAAGACTTATATGAGGTCAAAAACGCAGTCCATTCTGGATAAGAACAACTTTTGGGAACCAAGTAAAGATTAATGCAAGCATAATGCCTACTCTAATTATTAGGGGAAAATTCAACTTTTAGTCTTTTCATCAGCTTATACGACCTAGAGTGACAAGAACTTTTATCTAGCAATGAATATTCAAGAACTCTTAAGATAATATTAATATAAACTTTCTCTTCATTAAATGAGAGCATTTAGGTTTCTAAGAAAAGGTTTAATTCAAACTACAAAGCCCTATTATATGTATATATTCACCATATTATATAGATATACTCACCATAATTAGTTTAAGGTGATAAAAGACTGGTAGTAGAATTTTCTCACAATGTTATGCGTAGAGCTGATGTTTCAATTTAATTTCGCATAGCTTTGAATTCCCAAAAGTTGTTATCATCCAGGGAGTACTACAGTTTCGACTTAACAAAAGTCTTATCAACACCCCCAGCAGGAGTCGAGCCGTGACAGTGGAGAATGTGAGTTTGACACATTGACCACTCGGCCACAGTGCCACAAGTCCCTTGAATTACAGGACAGGTGTGTATTTCATTGGATGAGAACAACGTTTGAGAAACCAAGGCTATGTGAAATTATATGAAAACATCAGCCATACTTATATAATTGTGGGGAAATTCTACTACAAATCTGTCATCACCTTAAACGAAATAGAGTGAATACATTTCATATAACTGATTAACTGGTAGTCGCGAAACTATATTTCTATACGAAAAATAAGCGAATTAGTCTATTGTTATAGCAAAAATGCGTTTACTTCATAGACAATCCCACCAAAGAATGTGATATGGGTAATGGCCTGGTCTTCCTTGAATTTCATATCGGCCCTGTGATTCAAGGGCATTCGTGGCAATGCGGCCGAGTGGTTAACGTGTCAAGTTCGCATTATGCACTGTCACGGTTCGACTCTCACTAAGGATGCTGATAAGACCTATGCGAGGTCGAAACTGCAGTCCACCCTGGATAAAAACAACTTTTGTGAAATCAAGGATATGTAAAATTAAATAGAACTTCAGCTCTACTCGTATCTTTGTGGGAAAATTCTACTACCAGTCCTTCGTCACTTTAAATTAAATAGGGTGAATACATCTAATATAGCTGATTTACTCGTAATCTCGAAACTCTACTTCTATACAAAGCTTAAATTCAAACTAGCCAATGTGATATGAAGACCAAGATAGTGTGGCCCCCGGTATGATCACAGTCTCCTTTCGATTTATAAAAGTGGGTTTACGTCGTTGTCGCAACTTGGTCGACTTAATAGAACGCACCTTGTCCAAAGTCCTCTGCCATAGAAGTTATCATAATTCTCAGCATCAACGACGAGGTCAACCCACTTCTAAGCATTGTGATGATGAAAAGACCCTGATTGCACTACATCTATCTTGTTTGTGCTCTTTTCCCACTAAAACTTATACTGATTCGACGCATCCCGTCTTGTTTCGCTTTAATAGCAAAACTTAGCATTCGTAGTAACTTGGAGGAAATATATTTTTTATCAAAATAACTTGGGCCATTACCCACATACTTATAAATGAAAGTCGAATAGGAAAATAGATTAAAGCTATCCGGAATTGAAATTAATCCTAAATACTAACTCGAAAAATAATCCGCGGAGGTGGATGGAAGCTGACTGTCTTTACTCTCTGTGATGCTAGAGCTAACATCTCCTTGTCGTAGAGCTTGCCTTTGAGCTCTTTTATTGCGGCCTTGCAAAATATGTCTGTAGTACTGAAGCATTTTCATTCGTTTCTGCCCATGGAGAACTTGGAGCTTAGAGTAAAAAAACGAAAATAAATATTAAGAGTGCGAATTACGACAGATATGTGAGGATATATATTCATAAGAAAATTCAACTGCAGTATATCCACTGCCTGTAATCATTTACTTGATGGTAGATGATCATAATGCATTAATTAAGTCTAACGACAAAATGATATATATTAAGTGTTTAGAAAAATAGCAAAGCGAAATGATTTCGTTACTAAGTGATATACAAACTAAGCCAAGTTAATAAAAAAATAAATTAAAATTTGTGATTAATGATAGAATCAGTTGCATCCTAAATACTGGTGAATAACATCGCTCCTAGCCACCGTAAAATTGAAATAAAATAAGTATAATCGAAGGTATAAATACCATAATAGTATGGCCTTTTGTAAGGTAGCAGTCTCGTTTCGTTGTATAGAAGTCAATTGACCTTGTTTTCGCAACTTGGTCAGATTGGCAGGAAAACCCGGAGGAATGCACCTTGTCCGGAGTCGATAGTATACATGATAATTTTCAATCGGACTGTGGATGTGGTACATTCCTATACGGTTCGCCGGTATCATCAGTGACCCTTGCCATTCTTAGCACCACACTACAATTCGTCAGAGACAAGTGAAGCCCATCCTTTGACCAAACATATGCTAAACAGTTGTGGTATCTCCCCTTCTGCCCTGGGCTATTCACATTTCCTTTACCCTCCTATCATGCCTTCCCAGTTACAATTTTTTATCGTGCTTATTTTTTAATGTAGTGTGCTACTTCGAGTTGCATTCATGAAAACCCTTCACACTCCACACTATCGTTATCACCCCTTTTACTCTTGTGCTGGGAACGTTGACCAGAGTCTCTCATATTGTTACGTAGTCCTTCCCTGGATCCTATCAAAATCTCCCTCTTGCCCCGTCGAATCTGTTTGCTATCTCCCTGCTTCATGCATTTCACTCGACACCTGCCCCACCTCTCTGTGTTATTCGAGGCGTAATTCGTCCATCCCCTGTACCTGGGAGATTGATTAGAGGCTAAATCCTCAGAGTAAGTCTCATGGTGATGCCTTTGCTACATGGAACACGTCTATCGTAAAACCTACTGTTAGCCAACTAGCTCTAATCGCCCCCTCGTCTATCCTGTCTCTATCCCTAATACCAAGTCTGACTTGCCATGCACTAATTGCTTGTGTGCCAACCCACAAATGTCGTGGTATTGCTGGCTTTGTTTAGGTTCAATGTTGAACCACAAAGTTTGTGGGTCGCTCGAAGGAGCACACCACATTACATTGAAAATAAGCACGGTAAAAAATTGTGACAGGGAAAACATGATAGGAGGATATAGGAAATGTGAATAGCCCAGGGCAGAAGGGGAGATACCACAACTGTTGAGCATACGTTTGGTTAAAGGATGGGCTTCACTTGTCTCTTTGACGAGTTGTAATATGGTGCTACAAATTGCCAGACTCACTGACGATGCCGGCGAAACGTCTGGGAATGTACCACGTCCACGGTCCTACTCTGGAAATTATCATGTATTCAATGGACTCCGGACTAGGTGTGTTCATGTAGGTCTTCCTACCAATATGACCGAGTTGCGAAAACAAGGTCAAACAACTTCTATACAACGAAAGGAGACTGC